GTGAAATTTGCCCAAGATTATCCTCCTACGATCTCTATAGCAACAGCACTCGAAGGGTTTTTCTAATGGGAAATGCTCTCCCGGTAAGGATCGATAGGATATTAATCTATGAATTTAATTATTGCTTGTGGCTGTGTAAGGCATTCGGAGTGGCCCAGAAAGACTTTCTTACGAATAGCCTTGGAAATGAAAAAAAAGAGAAGTCGTAAACTTTTAAGAAACTGAGCTCAGGCTATCAGAAACGAAAAGGAGGATGGCCACCGGCTATCTGTGCGCTCTTTTGCGGTTTCAGCCACGGGATTGTAGTTTTTCAAACCGAGCTTCAAGAGCGTAAAGGTCCCGTTTGGTTGGAGGATGGTCAAACCCATTTTGGGATGCACCCCGAATCCGACTTCTATTCAGAATCGCAGTGGCGTTTTGAAGGCGTTTGTGGCTTATACGTTTATTTGCGGTGGACAGCCGATGTCAGTGCTTTTATCGTGCCAGTCTGCTATCAAATGAGCCCGAAAGAACAGAAGGTTTTGAATGCTCCAGGAGTTCCAAGACCAACAGGGAATTTGACCCCTGAACCATTCGTGTGTGATAGTATCTATCGCTTCCCAGTACACCACCTCCCAGAGCGACTTTACCTATTGACGAAGTCATGTTGCATGAGTCTCCAAGTGCCCTTCTCAGTTTTTCTGCACTCCTTTTTCAGATGATAGCTTCTGGGTTTGTGCCATACCTTCGTGCCATATCTGCCTAGCCAGCTTCACTCCCTTGCGGTTACTTAACAGGGCAGACTAATATTGAGCAATATCTGATTTTGCGCAAGGATTACGGCTTGTTTGAGAGATTTCACCGTCAATCCGATTCTACGTAATGGATGTTGAATACCCCTTCAAATTTAGTCTCTGCAGGTTCCAGTCCAGTTCCAGGGGACCCATATTGACCCGTGTTCACTTCGGGTTCTTAGTTTGGCATTTCATAGTTTAGACCTAGGAATACATTTTATTGTATTCA